CGGCCAACGAATTTGAAATATTCGAGATGCTCCGGATTAACACTGGATGCTGCGTTGATCTGAAGAGTATAATTCGCGTGTGTAGAATATTCAAATAAACAATATGCTGGGCTGAACATTTCGTGGGAGAGGAGGAAGAAAAATTCTCTAGATAGAACTGTCAAGCCATGATCAGTGGGCGGTGATATTCACAAACCTTGTAAGTCCACCGTAATCAAGCCCGATCTCACCATCAAACCTGATATCGAGTTTTTTCTTTAAATTATCCGGAGTGTGGCGCATAACTTCACGGTAAGCATCTTCGAAAAGATGGTTTCGTCGTAGCCTGATCTTGCAAGACCCTGGTTGCCACTGGAGCGCAGAGTATGATCGGAGGGAAACAACCTTCTGTCTGAAGTCGTGCTTATATTGAGGAGCATTGGAACCTGGTTTCGATGGAATACGTGGGTCATCCCAAGTTGTTTTCTGCGTATTGTGATCAAGATAGTAAAAACGTCCTGTTGATGTCATCCGCATTTGCCACCCGGAAGGTAGCGGCCCCAGATTACGGGAAGATCGCGAATGGGTGAGAACACGAGGCGCAGGCGCTGCAGTGCCCCGCGGATCATCCCAAGTCGTAGATTGTGTGTTGTGATCGACATAGTATATGCGACCTTGGTGGTCTAGACGACGCTCCCATCCGGCTGGCAATGGATGGCTCTCGGCACTGTCGCTGGTTTCTGGGTTATCATTTCCACGAAGGTGTAAACTTGTAGACGATGCAGGCGGACGATGCCAAGAGGTAGTACGAGTGTTGTGATCCATATAATACAATTGTCCTTCAGCTGTTCGACGCTCCTCCCAGCCATGTGGTAACCATGGTGGAGGATTACTGTCAACGCTCCTATTGGGAAGAACCTGATGGGGCTGTAAGGGAGGATCTTAGTAGTTAGATGTTCTAGCGTACGCACTGGGCTAGGTTCTGGATCTGCCACAGCAGGACTGGCGTTACTCTGGCGAGATGCAGGCGGAGGTGGCAGCGGCCTGGTCGGAGTCGCGACTGAGATGTGACTCGAAGGTCCGGCGGTGAGAGGTGTGATTGTGTTGGAAGTCGTGGACAGGTGGTTCTGGGCTGCGTTTATAACCTCTGACCCGATGCGTTGACTTTCCGGCTGGCTTGGATCATGATGTATCGCCGGGATACTAATATTCGTGACTTGGACGACTACTTGGCCTTGCACGGCCTGGCCACCTACCGGTCGCTCCAAAGTGATCGTAAGTGTTTCTACACCAAACCGGCTCAGGTTATAAGTAGCAGAAACGATCATTATCACTAACGTGTCGTTCCCACAGGGAGGCTGAGAATATCTCTAGCCATTATGCGACTGAAGCCCAGACAAACATTTTCGTTCAAGTTCGACTTATGTACGTCGAAGATTTCAACGGTCGCAACAGAGGTTTCATTTAGTGCACTAGAGAAATGAATAGGGTAAGTTCTCCTAAAGCACCATGATAGCAGTATTAAGGAGATTGGGATGGGTCTCAATAGATACGTACACATTGACGCGACTATTCCATTGAGGGTTGAGAGTCTTCCTGACCACTTCAGTGGTAAGAATACCTTCCCCGTCAACACTAACTGTTGCAAATGGGCTGGGCAACCGAAATATGCTACGCCTGACCAGACCAACGGCGGCTACAACTAAGTGGAGAAGTACTGTCAGACAATTCCTGGGCGGTCATAGTTAGAGTCACCATTCAGTGAAACATTCCTGTGCACCTGAGTCAGCCTAGAGCCACTATGAATGAGAAGTAGCAACGAACGGCATAAGTAACTTGGGCAGGACGGATACTTACGATTGATCAACTACCGCAATTATTGGTAAGGCTTCGACTGAGCGTTAGTTAGTGTAAATATATTTGGCCAATATGTACCTCTCTAAAGAACATATTGTCAAGGCTTGGTAGTCTAGTGGTCTATGATTCCCGCTTTGGGTTATTAACCTTGCGGGGGGTCCCGAGTTCAACTCTCGGCCAAGCCCTTTTTTGTCCTTCCTCTCATCGCTGAGTTTGCTACTCACTACGCCAAGTCGTCAATCAGGGAGTTGCCTTTTTCCTCTAGTTCATTGACCTTTCAAATAATGCCAGTTGGCTTATTGTAATGAGTCTAGCCGTCATATATACAATTTGGAGGAAGATAGTATGTGTGTTGTAACTGTTGTAAAATATGCAGACACCCATGCACGATGTGGACAGGAACAATGCTCTATGTACCAAAATTATCCAGTGTTAACCCAGTGAACCCTGGATCCTCAATATATAAACTAAAACAAGAATGACAGTCCTCGGATAAATCCCCATAGGACTCCTCCAGAAATGATAGGAAGGGTCAGATTATCATCCAAAGACCCGAGGTCTACAGATGCACCTCAGTGAGTGAAGGTGCTAGATAGGCAATGTTCACGTACCCAGCGCCTCCGCAACGCCACCAATAAGGGCCGTCACGCTACTGAGCAGACCTAACCCTGACCATCCACCGAACTGGTGATTATCCCAGGTCCATATTGGCTCTGAATCACGAATCGGAGCCAGCCACCCCCAGAAGCTCAGGGCTATGGCACCTGATGTGAGGGATGCAGCGATGAAGCCTGCTAAAGACTTCCGTCGGGCCAACGGGAGTCCGAGTCGAGAGCTTAGAACAACTGGTAGGAATGGAATGAGGGGAATGTGCGAAGGAAGTGGCCGGGTATAAGGTCCCCATAAACGACCAAATGTGGACGCGGTCGTGTCAGCCCAGGATAATCTGATCCAGAATGAACGTCATAATTTGAGATAACAATGCGACATACATTAGAATTGACACAACTGCAACATCCAAAGGATATATAATCAACGAGAAGAGAACGCCGAGTATATACCACACTACCCCGTTGACTTTATGCTAGATCGACAACAGAAGATTAGTCAGAAAAGCCTTCCGAGAGGGTCGCACACTTTTTCAGGGTCACACACTTTTTCACTGTTGCGCATGAGGGGACCTAATATTCTTTCATAAAATCGTGCAAAAGCTGCATTCCGAAAACGCAAGACCTCTGCTGCGGAGATTATGGCCAACGCTCCGGAAAGTATAATTATGACAGGACGCGCGGAGAAACCAGATGTATAGAGCGGGACAACAAGAAATCCTGAGTTCGATTAGTGAATAGAACGGGTAGGTAAATGAAACACGAACACACACCTATTGAGGAATGGAACGTTTTTCGAGGAATCTCCCAATCGATTTTTTTCACCTTCTGTCCTTTGAGCGGGTAGGTATCCTCGTCATATTGTCGCGTCTCTAACGTATGTATTGCGTCCTCCCCGATATCATGTAATAAGTTACCGTTGGAACCACTGTGAGAAAGCCGCCTAGGATTCCGCCGCGTGAGTTTGCCAATCCCCATGGCCACTGCTGTTGGCGAGGGCGACCGGGTGCTTGGGCGAGGCGATCGGCGGGTGTGGTTGTGAGAGTAGCGGTTATTGAGTGTAAAGGCGTCATTTGCTGGTGTCATAGCCATGTCGTGAGCGTGAAGAGGTCTGAGCGTGAGTGAGGCCTAGAGGAGGTACGTGACACTACGAATGTGAAGACTGGCCCTTGTCACTTACGTAAGTTAGACCAAAATCAATCCTTACGCTGACACTACCTTACTATGATCGTGGAACTTGAGCTCCACGTTTGGCAACGCAAGAATATAATCCCACAGTAGCAAGGAATACAATGGATCTGACATGTTATATACGCCTAATATACGTTTATCCACCTCCACCACTAAAACTGTTGTAAAGGGGGTGGCGGTACAGAGGGTTTCCGAGCTAGTGTCGGTTGCTTCTGCATCGGTACTTCACAGGGTGAACTTGGTGCACCCATTGAGAATGCATAACTAGATCCTAAGCCTGGTAAAGATAAGTTAGCGTCACCCTTATTGATGTTCGGGTAGGATGTTGCAGTGCTTGTCAGTGCTGGACGATAGTTGGTCGAGTGACTCGACCAAAAGCTGTCGTAAGTTAATGCCACGTTGGACGAGGCGGACATCGAGGATAATGGTGCAGAATGAGAAGGCCTTATCACAGGTGAGCTACCTCTCGATCGTGAAGAAGATGCGGGTTGAGGTAACGAGGAGTTCCTAGTGGGAGGGTTATTTCGTGAGACAGGAGGGGAGACAGCGGATGACGGGACCGGGGATTGGGTATGTGAGACGGGTGCATTTGGTGAGAGATGCCGAGTGTGAGGGATAGGGGATGGCTGAAGTGGCTTTGTGGAAGAGGGAGCCCGAGTTACCGCTGTGGAGCGGGGTGTTGGAGAGGTAACCTTGGCAGATGCGGAACTATGTGGGGGTGCGGGGGTGATTTGGGAATTGGAGGAGGTTTGTTCAGTTGGTATGGGAATCGAAGCGTCTATATCAGGCGGCGGGTCTACATCCATCGCTGAGGACTCGTCTTCACCAGCTGCTGTGGAAGCATTAGATGCTTTTGTAGCATCTGAAGCAATAGGTGGCAGCTCGGTGCGATGGGTGCGGGCCACAGGGCTGGGGTTGGCAGCGGTGGCTGAGGTGGATGCGTGTGGTGGGTGGTGCGTTGATGTATTCGCACTGCCCTTTTTGGGTTTAAGTGTGCCCTTTTGTGAAGTTCGTGCACGGTAATGATGGAAATACAAGTTCTCCACTTCGTTCAGCGTTTGTTTTTGCTGCAGTCTGTCGTTACTTTCTAACCACATCGCCGAGCTCTCAGACTCACCCATCCATGATCAACTTTGAGCCTTGCATACTGGAGTCGTGTTTGCAGTTGTCGAGAAAGCTACCGAATATGGCTCATGGTAAGTAAAGGCGCATTGACTCGTCATTGGAACCAGAGTACATACGTGTGCTGCCTTCGCCTTTTCGATCTGCCTTCTGCGCTTTTCTATGGTGTCTGCGGGAGGAATATCTGGCGGGTTCATTCTCGTAGAGGATGTGTGATGAAGGAAGGGATAATCGCGCCTTGAGGCGGATGTGTCCTACGGGCACGAGTTGAAGGATAGGCGCTCGTAGGTCACGTGCAGCATTTCAACCGCTGTTGTGTGTTGGTATGTTGTTCGCTGATTGTGTACTAAGACTACGTATATAGCCATGCCATGCATCCAAGTAGCATCTGACTCGGACTCCGGTATTATGTAAATGTAAATAAGGCCACGTCTTGCGTCCAACATCGTCTTGCTGCATGGATGCGAAAATGCCTGTACCCGGATGGAAACTATCGGCCGCAGTTCATGCTTTAGTCAGCTTGAGCTGAGGAGCTTGGGACGAAGCGTCCTCTGACTAAACGCACCACCCAACCGTACACTTCCCGCTGGTGGGTCACGAGTGCCGTAGCGGCCTCTGTGCGGATGGCTAAAGGCACCGTTCACGCGCACGGACCGTTCACTCCCACTAGTCAAGGCTCGACTCCTAAACAGGTCTGGAAGGCGAGCGGTAGGGGTAGCGGTAGCCCCCTGATGAGAGCTTTCGTCGGCTCGAAACCGCTACACACCCGTCTCCCTTAACAACCCTCTTCCCTACCTAGCAAAAGCCCAATCTTCGGAGACGGCTATCTGCGGTAGGTGCAAAGGTTGTGGTCTGCCTAGCGGTGCTCTGTTGGACGCAGCTACCCGCGGCTTCGCTCGCAGGTAGCATAGCTAAAAACCTCTTTATCAACCTTTGCTATTAATAAACACAGATGCCACTCGTAAAAGCTAGTATCCAAGCGAGCTTAGTCACGTGATCCTCCTAGACGCTTACGTCACGTCCTCAAGAAGATTTTGTCGCACTGGCCATGTCCCTTCGTGGACTCCAAACCTTCATCTTCGCCTCTGAGGCGCGGCTGGCACAATATACACACCAGGGGGCCACTCTATGCCGGCCTCGCAGCTCTACCTCGACATGCGCAAGGCGGTTGACGTCTTTGTCGACTTGTGCGCCACAGTCAGGGCGGCGGGAGCAGCGGATTGGGAGGGGTTCATATTTGTGTGATGCTGCACCATCCTGTTTAGCCGGAAATGGCGCGCGTAAGCGTTTGCTTATGCTAATGCGACTTCGGGAATGGGAACGTTGCCGGGGCTTTCATTCGTCCACACGTACGCAATGTTTGTTAGATGAATGCTGGACACGCATCCTAACAGCTCCTCCTCTTGCTAACCTGATAAAAAAGCACGTTTTCATGAGACTATCGTGCGTCCAGCGCCTGGTACCGGGTGCGTTTCACATCCCTTTTTCTTCCTGTGGTTATCTGCATCAAAACCAAAACATCTGCAGCGTCCGAGCTTGTGGCAGATCAGAAATTGTCAAATAAATGCTAACGGTCATACGCACAGAATCACGATCCATTTCCAGGACTCGAAAGGCCAGCCAGTGAAGACAATCGAGGCGAACGACGGGGACAATATCCTCGACTTAGCACATGAGTATGATGTTGATCTTGAGGGTTCGTTTTACTTCCACTATGCCTTATAGGTCTTGACCACTGACCTCTACAACCAACTCATCCATGCTCCTCTTCTCTTTTTCGGTGCTACACTTGTCATTTTGTGCATGGTGCTTTGCAATCAACCAGGCGCATGCGAAGGATCCGTAGCCTGCTCAACATGCCACGTCATCCTTACGCCCCAGCATTATGATTTGCTGCCGGAGCCAGAAGATGACGAGAACGATATGCTAGATATGGCGTTTGGGCTTACTGATACGTGCGTGGTTATTCTCCCATGGCGGAGCAATGCTAATGTAAAGCGCTTGATTTTTACTCGGTTGCATTTTTCTTATGTTTCGTTTTCTTCCTCTCCGACCCTCCGCTTCCTCCCCTTCGTCCGTTTACTCGCCCTCGTTTCTTGGGCTCCCCCGATCCCCGCCGCTTAACAGGTCCCGCCTGGGCTGTCAAGTCAAAATGACGCCCGCCCTCGACGGGATGGTCGTCACGCTACCGTCGGCGACCCGTAATATGTTTGTTGATGGTACGTGATGCGTAATCAGTTATCGTTGGACTATTTAAAGTCATA